ATGTGGCTCTATGTCCGTGCATTGTGCTCCCAGAGGCTGCATTATCTTTAAAAGCCCTTCTTAAAGAGGGTGTTATAAAATAGCCAGTCTATATACAGATCCAGAACGTGTGTGTCTGAGTCGCTGATGCCTGGGCAGAGTGGAGGTTTTGTGGGGTGGGTGAGAAATTTAGTGTTAGCCTACAATGGGTGTGAGCAGCATCCATCTCTAGGATCAAACGTTCAGGAAGTGAGCATTTCACTGTGCCTTTTTGCATCTGCTTTTATTTTAGTTTGTGAAGGTCTGGCAGTCACTGTTGCCCCTTCTGCCACTGAAGTTCCCTGCTTGACATCACTAGATGCCAGAAAGTGGCCATGACAGAGCTTTGAGCTTCCAAGTTTCTTTGTCCATGCATTGGCTAGTGTTTTCCTTTGTAACAATAGGAATCATAAAGGGTTATGGTCAGTGATACAAGTGGATGCTTTACGGCTAAGAGCTGCAAAACCTCTGGAGTATGAATTTAACTTAATTGGAAAGCACTTGGACAGTGATCAACTCGAAGTTGATTCTGCCTAGATAAGAATGCTTTTTAGAGATCTTGGTAGTCAAGGAGCCTGCGTGAAGCTTGCAAGCACTGTGCACTGCTGCCTTAAATAATTTAGGGTTAATTGTACCACAAAAATAAGTGGAAGAGCAGAATTCCAAGTTTTGTAAATGAGGCTTGGGAGCTGTTAGAGAAATAACAGTGAATCTATTCTTTTGCTAATCTAATGAACTTCAGTTAATTAAATTAGTTACTTAATTTGTTAATGCAAATTAAGGGTTAGGGTAGGACAGCAGTAGAAGTTACAGCATTATCAAGTCAAGCTCCTCCAACTCTTAATGCTGTAATAATAAGATACAAGTATGAAAAGTTGTAGAGATGAGCACTGGCAAAAATATTACTGCTTTCTTCATAAAGACTGCAGTTACTGAACTGAGGCTGCCTTGATCCTGAGAGGGAAAACTCTATTGAAGCATTTGATATTCTGGCTTGTATTTGTAATTCAGTATTAAAATAGGGTTGGATGTTGCTGATGCTGCAAATACTACACTTAATCTAGTAAATCGTGCATTGAACTGGGTGATGTATGTTTGCTTACATGTAGAACTTACCCTGTCTTGAAGTCCCTCAAAACTGAAAAATAAATATTGTATGGCAGTTTTTTTAGGTAGGTTATCCTAATGGTTAAATTAATATAGAGCTATTTTTGAAGCACAGTCACAGGAAATTGCATTAGCTTGAAGTTGATTGTAGAAAGATCTGAATCTAGAGTTAGGAATTCTACCAATACTTTGAAAACCAGGTGGGCTCTTCCCCACCATTTGCAAACAATCTTCCAGAACAGAAACAGTTTTTAGAACAGGTGGGAGGAAGGGAGCCAGCAGAGGCAGGAAATGTGTTTTCTGTGCCTGGGTCAGGGAGAATGAATCTGTTGGGAGGGTTGAATTCTACTTTTGGTGTTCAGATCTTCCTTTTCCTTAGGAAGAATGACCAAACTGTTGTTTTTGTCTTTCCTTAAGGTGGTCAGTCCAGAAGTGTGCAGCCTTTTAGTGATGAAGATGCTTCAATTGAAACTATGAGCCACTGCAGTGGCTTCAGTGATCCTGCTAGCTTCACTGAGGATGGTATATTCTTTATTTCTTTATATCTTTTCATCTTTTTAAAAACATAAAACCTGACTTGACTTAGGAATTTAAGTACTAGACTTTAAGTAGCAGTAGCAAAATAATGATATTCCGTTAAACACTATGTGATTGTTAATCTAGTGACTATCATTTTTGTTTTGTAAGAATATACTGCAGGTTTCGTCAGCCTCTCATGAAGCATTAGACTTTTTTTCTATTAGAATTATACAATGCTAACTTGTGGAGACACTAAGAATTTTAAGGTACATCATGAAACATAATTTTTATAACACATAGTTCAAGTGTAAGAACTGCAGAAGAGTTTAAGCTGGAAAGAGTCAAATTTGCCTGTTTTGAACTAGATTTGTGCTTGGTCACCTCTACAATCTCTGCCAGGTAGGACAGGCTGCTTTGACAGTACTCACTGCATCAACAGTGAACACCCTGCTGTACTTCAGGGGCAGATGTAGTGGACTGGATGGAAATATGTTGCTGACAGGATAGGCTGATGGGCATCAGTTGTAGCAAATTTATGTAAGACCTGATCAGCTCCCTTGTTCACTCTTGGCATATGTAAGAAGCAGGTATAGAGACATGTATAGACCACAAATGTATGAATGAAGGGGCAGTTTGATGTAATAGGCTTAACACCATTCTGTTGCTGTAACATTGAAGAATTCTGTAGCTATTGTCTCTGTTAAACTACTTTCTTCTTAGTATTAAAGCCATTAAGTGTTAGCTACTACTGTGCTAATAAAATGTGTATCAGTAGGACTAAATTATTTCTTCTGGATTAGGGCCTGAAGTTGATGAAGAAGCCACTCAAGAAGACTTAGAATACAAATTGAAGGGATTTATTGATCTTACATTGGACAAGAGGTATAGTATGCTTTGAAGAAACGCATTCATACATTGTTTGCTGACTTCCTCTGATATAATAAGAGAAACACACATCAAACCTTTTAGTGTACTTACTGCAATTACAATTATTTCATGCTGGGAAGGACTTGCTTTTCTTCTGGATCTGAAAAGACCTTTTTTCCTCCGTCAAGTTTTAGGGAAAGTGCGAGTTAGACTTTCTTAATAGCTTGAAGTAGAGTGACTGCATTTAAATTGCAAACAGGGCAGATTTAGACTAGATATTGGAAATTTTTTACTATGAGGGTGGTGAGGCACTGGAACAGGTTGCCCAGGGAAGTTGTGGATGCCTCATCCCTGGAATTGTTCCAGGCCAGGCTAGATGAGGCTTTGAGCAACCTGCTCTAGTGGAAGGTGTCCCTGCCCATGGCAGAGGGGTTGGATCTAGATGATCTGTAAGGTTCTTTCCAACCCAACCCATTTTATGGTTCTATGATTCTATGACTTTATTTCTAGCCTGGTGTACTATTTTGAACTCTGTCTCTAACCTAAGTTGCTTTGTCCTTGAGGAAGGAGGCAATTTGTAGCATTTCATCCTTCATGGTACTTCTGTGTGTTACTCTTCTATTGAGTGCAGAGAAATATGAACTACCATAAAAACAAATGCTGAGCTTTAACTGCATGCTGATTTCAGGAGGTCTTCCTTCTCTCTTCTAACAGTGCAAAGGCAAGACAAGCAGCTCTTGAAAGTCTGAAAAGTGCATTTTCTTCTAAAATACTATATGAATTTGTCATGGAAAGGAGAATGACACTAACTGATAGCATTGAACGCTGCATAAAGAAAGGTAATGAACATGCTTGCTATTAGAAAGCAATAATCCCTATGAAATAGCTCATTGTTTAAAAAGAATTAAGACTCTGAGACTTCTCTAGTACTTTGTATAGAGTGCTTTATAATTTAGTTACGTAAGTAACATTCATTTTTTAAATCTAGATGTCATATTTTAACTGACCTAGAAATTAACTGAAATGTTCTTCTGCTTATTGGTTTCTGGATTTCCACTTGCAAGTTTTCAGACTATTATCTTTAAAGCGTTAAAGGAAGGAAGCAACGCACAAGGTGATTTTCATCATAGTGTGTTAATCTCTAGGTAAAAGCGAGGAACAGTGTGCAGCTGCCGGACTGGCATGTCTTCTGTGTGTGCAGATGGGGTCAGGAATTGAGAGTGAAGAGATTTTTAAGACCCTTGGTCCAGTTCTGAAGAAGATTGTGTGTGATGGAACAGCCAGTATCCAAGCCAGACAGGCTGTAAGTATAAAATGTTTATTTGCCAGGCAGGGACGGAGGGCAGTTTTTGACCAGCTCACTATTGTGTAATCCAGAACCAAAGGTTACTACACCCGTGTGAACTCAGAATGTTGATGTATGCTTTGAATGATGCATAGCAGTTTTCACTGGCTTAAAAAGTTCCACCGAAAGGCTGAAGGTCATTCTCTTCTTCAACCTAGGAACTTCCTTAAAGAGCTGTTACATCTAATACTTTGTTGGTTCTCTTAACTTCCTGTGTTGCAGTCTCCTTACTGCAGTTCTGAGAGCTGCTGTTGAAATCCTGTAGAAAACAATGGAAGTTTTCCCACTGATGTATCCTTCCTGTATGGATTTTAACTTCTTTAACAGCAGATCTAATTACGTATAGCAGATCTTGAACTGCATTATACGTTTGTACTACCAAAAGTTTAAGTTTTTTGACCAGTCATCTCACCTATACATCGGTATTACACTTGAAATATTGGCTGCAGAAAGTCTAAAGCTCTTGCCAGTTTGAAAAAAAAACTTCAGATTTTTAACTAATATTCTCCAACTTATCATTACACAGCTGACTACTTCTGTTGTACTCAAGCTGTGTTACAGCACATACTGTCAGCTGGAAGAGGAGGTAGTATTAGTTCAGCAGCACTTATTCCTACAAACAAAAGCTATTAAAGCTTGTCATGTTTTAAGTGTAGTTTCGAGTCCTGTGTGGTTAGTGCTACCGTCGCTTTCAAACTTTTATTTTCTTCCTGTTTGTAAGAGTAGATGGTGTAGAATATGGGGCATAGGAAAGAGATGTATAGGGCCTTGCAGCAAGAGTTGGAAAGTTCTGGGAAGGGCTTTTGGAAGTCCAGTGTTTTCATACAACTTAATTGTAATGGTGGGCAGAGGGGAAAGTATTTCCCCCAGCTGTGAATAAATATCATATGTCCATTACTGTTTATCAGCATATTTTCTGCTAATGAATCCTAATGGGATTTAAAATAATTGTGTGAAAGAAGGGCTACATGTAGCTTTTTGGAAGGTCTTTGTAAGCTATATTAAATAGTACAGCATGAAAAGTGAAGGCTTGTGAGTAGCGTATGTTGTAAAATAATTCTGAGAGTAAACAGAAACTGAGAGCTAACTATTACAAAGTATCTGAATTAAACAGTATTGAAGATTTATACTCTGCTAAGGTCTTAATCTCAAGTTTCCATTATGCCAGATGTTAAATTTCAAGGGTCAAAGTAACAGTAACATTAATGTCAAATACTGACACTTTTTTCTTTTGTGTCTAGTGTGCAACCTGCTTAGGGATTTGCTGTTTCATTGTCACTGATGACATTACGGTGAGGATAAATAATACTTTTTTAATATATAAAATGATAATAGGAAAATATGTGACTCTTAAGCCACTCCCATTATCTTTTTTCCCCTGATCAGGAACTGTATTCTACTATGGAGTGCCTGGAAAACATCTTCACAAAGGCCTATCAGCGGGATAGAGACACTAATGGTGTATCAAGTACTCATAGTACTGTGCTTCACATCAGTGCTCTCTTGGCATGGACACTGTTGTTGACCATTTGTCCAATGAATGAAGTGAAGAAGAAAATTGAAATGTGAGTATCTTTGTTAGAAAACAAAATTTGTAATGACGGTTTTTATATGCAATGAAGAAGTGTCAACAAAATTTACATATTAATGAAATGTGACTTACTCCTTAGGCACTTGCATAAACTTCCAAGTCTGCTGTCTTGTGATGATCTCAACATGAGAATAGCTGCTGGAGAAACACTAGCCCTTCTGTTTGAACTGGCACGTGAAACAGATGCTGTAAGTAGATGTCAGCAGCTAAATTTTCTTGCATTGGGTTGATGACAAGACAAATCATTTAACATGTTGCATAGCACCCCAGATCTCAACAAGTGGCAGATAATTCACTGGGTTATGTTCTTTGTAGTGAGTCTGTCCCAATCTAATTGGGTATAGCAATGAATCACAGCAATCTAGCTATCATTTTGACACAAATTTCCATATTGCGTAACAGGACCAGTACAACAAAACACATCAAACGGTATGTAAGAGTAACTAGAAATGTAGTGCGCAAGCTTTAAAATCTAAATCCAACACCAGCTTAAAAAAAAAACCTGCAAAACCCAAAACAAACAAAAGAACCAAACTATTAAAAAACCAAAACAAAACAAAACGCCACCCAAAATCCCTAGAGGTATTCCAGCATAAAACACTTGTTTACTGTAGTGGGAACACTTGTTAGGTACTTAGTTTTCTGCAGACACGTTCCAGTGATTCCCAACCTGCACAATTCTGCTCTCACAGCTGAAAATCTATCCTTCAGTAGAAACCATGTGGACTTTTAGTATTGTTTTTTCAGTATCCTTATTTAGGTACCTAGAGAAAAATAGTATTGCATGATGGTTTCATGTAGTTTGTGACTATTTTACTCAGTTGGGGACTAGTCAGTCAATTTAAGGGGAGTGATTTTTGAAAGGATTTGTACAAATTTTGCACAGATACCAGTACTGCTACATTTGGTGAGATTTCTTGGGGTTTTGCTTTTGAGTTGGATGAGGTGCAGGCTTCTCGGTATTACCTCATACACAGCTAAACTTGCCTTTACATTGTTCAGTATGCCTTATTAATTTCTGAACTGTTTTCTTGACAGCACTGAAGGAAACAGTCTCCACTTACCTGTGGCACAGTTTGGGAGAGCTGCCTGAATGGCTTCTAGCTCAATCAAGGCTGCTGTGCTTTGCCAGAACACTGTCCAAAGTGAAAGGATAACTCCAGTTGAGTCAGGACACGACACACTAACACTGCATAACCTGAAGCAATTTGCTGAGACTTCTGTATAATTGCAAACAGTAGGGATTTGAGTCTCTTGGCAATGGAAACTAACTTTGAAAGAAAAGAAAATGAGACTGCAACTTGATCCTTTATTTGATCAAACTGAGTGCAAGTAATTAAAATCTTAAAATGCATTAACAGATGAGACTACATTCACAAAAAAACTTCTTCCATTCCATTGATGAAATGCACCTTTAATCATTACAAATGATTCTCTTTGGATCCTTAACAGTTGGTGCAGATAAAAAATGCTTACTGTGTTTTGCCTTTGACCAGTTTGTTTCAAAGAGCACACAGTAAACTCAGCCTAGTCAGTTGACATGACAAAACATTCAGATAAGTTACTTGGTTTTGCATAAGTGGTTTACTAATCCAGGTAAACTAGCATTGAATCAGTAAATGGAGGGGAGAAGATATCTCCTGTTAAACAATCGTGCATTAAATTTTACTTGAGTGGGTCTTCTGTAAAGCATTTTCTTCTTCTAATTTTCCATCCCATACAAAACTTGACTAGATAATACTTCCTGTTAGTCTAATGGTGTCTCATGATCCATCTCCAGCAGCATGAATTCTGTGCTAGTAACCTGAAAGTGCCCTCAGCTTGTCGACAAGAGCGGCAGCCAGGGAAAAGTGAGTCCCTTGGAATTATGGAGCAGAACAGGTTGCCAGGTATATATGCACACTAAAGGAGCTGTACTGTTTCATGTGGCTCTGACTACTGGAATAGAGTTTGATAGCGTCCTACTTGGTAAACTGGACGCAGTGATGTCATTCTTGCTGGTTTAAATGCTGCAAATGAAACTACAGAAGTTAGTGCCATCTCTGTCTCTTTAAATAACAAAGTAACAGGTTGTAGAGGTCTATGTGTCAGAATTTGGAGAGATCCATTTTCCTATTTGAAGAGAAGGATATCGAGGGCAGAAACATTTTTTTTCTTTTTTTTTAATAGGATTTCTTTTATGAAGATATGGAACTTCTAACAGAGAAACTAAGAGCTCTGGCTACAGATGGAAACAAGCACCGAGCCAAAGTAGATAAAAGAAAGCAGCGATCTGTCTTCAGAGATGTTCTACGAGCTGTTGAGGTGATCCTTTTGTCTTACTTTGACTGTCTGGATTGTAACTATGTAGTGTGCAATTTAATTAAAATGGTTTTACTATTAAATAGAATTACTGTTTCAGTGAAAGCAACAGGGAAAAATAATTTTAAATGAGACTTAAACTTCAGATTTTGATAACTTGAAATGTAACTGCTTTTTTAGAAATGTCGAATAAAGCAAGTCTAACTTTATTTATTTTGTTTCAAACTTGATTTCCATATAGAAGAGTATTTTCTCTTCTTTAAAGACGGCTAAACATTGCACTGTAAATACTAATTCTTTTTATTTTATCCCATGAGCAGATTTTTTTCATGGAAAACTTTGTAGGGCATGCAAATTAGTGTAATGAATTCCCTGAAAAGATTTATTGTAAAATCTATCCCTGGAGGCATTCAAGACCAGGCTGGGTGGGCCCTGGGCAGCCTGCTCTAGTGGTTGGCAAACCCTGCCCCACAGCAGGGGGGTTGAAACTAGATGATCTTTAAGGTTGTTTTCAACCCAGCCCATTCTATGATCTCTTATTGAACTTCTGGGCATAATAAACAGAAAGCAACTTAGTAAGAGAAATTTCCAAATGGCACCTCTCTAAGGGGCCAGAGAAGTGTTTGTGTATGGGGGAGAGTTGTTCTAATTTCTGTGCTGCGATCTTCTGGTTTTCCATATCCAGATTAAAAGATACACAAAGCGGGACTCTAAATATACTTGATTAGTGACATAACTTCTGAGTAAAGCCTCTAAGACAAATGTCAAACTTCTATCACTTCGATTGATTGTTATCTTATGCCTCTCAAACTACATGTTTTACTTGTCAGAGAACTTCTTTTTACATTGTTGTATGGGTAAGACCAACCTAATATTTGTTGACATTCAGAACAGTTAAACATCTTGGAAGCTAAAGAGAATGCTTTGATGTGATTTGAAGTCACCTTTGAGATTTTGCCTGTAGAAGAATCCGATTCACTTATTAGCACTTGTGACATTCCATTGTCACAAATGTAGCTTGCTGCCCTTGAAATGTGGGGACTAAATGAGCCTTAAAAACTGAATGAAAGGTGACTCCTGCACTCAGAATATGTTTTTCTGGAAATTAAGTCCTATTCTTTAAAGTAATTTTAAAGTTGAAAATTAAATGTGGTTTTTTAATGCTTTCTGACTTGAAGAATGTCAGCTTCAAGTCTTAAATGAGATTTAACTTCAGTTATGCATTAGTTAATGAAACTGCATCAGTTTATGAAAGTTTATGAAAATACAGTATTTAGTATATGCATATTATTTGGAAGGTTTTTGGTGTGCCAAATTTATTAATGAAAATAAAGTTCATTGAGATATGTACAGTTCCTAATACAAAAGACTGTTTACATTAAAATTATATGTGTTGTTCCCTTTACTTTTGGGTAGGAGCGTGATTTTCCTACAGAGATGGTTAAGTTTGGACCTGAGCGCATGTATATTGACTGCTGGGTTAAAAAACAAACTTACGATACCTTCAAGGAGCTTCTGGGGTCAGGGATGCAATACCATTTGCAGGTGAGCTGCTGTTTGATACATGCTCAGACTGTTGTTCCCTGTCAGGCTTCCTTGTAGTAACTCAGTCTGAATTACAAAATCATGAGTAGAACTTGGTGAAATGATGGGCTTTGCACTAGAAGTGTGAAAATGCAGCACTTACAAATGAACCACAGTGAGCTAGAACTGTCTGGGTGAGCTGTTCCTGAGTTGTAGCCTGGGTGTGCTTGGTTAACAATTAGAAGACTTCTCCAAGAAGTAAGAGATTCAAGCTGAATATCTTCTTAGCTTTAGAGTTTTTCCTGAATCCTTATGCTCTCTTACAGCAGAGTTGGATAGTCATCTGGCTGCTATAAAGCTGCATGCGTCTACCTTTCCTCTTCAAGCCTATAAAAAGGAATGCAAAGTTTTAGTAAAAAAAACAAAACAAAACAAAAAAAAATACAAAACCCACACAACTTGCAGCCCAATGATGACAGCATGCCAGAAGGGAAGGGATAAGTCCTTATCTCTGTTCTAGGAACTGCTTGTTCACTAGTCATCTGTTTAGATATATAGCAGAAGCAGGAACTGTGGCTTAGACGTATATGCTCCCAAATTGCTATCAGAATCATGGAGTTAAAATCTTGAGTCCAGTATCAATTGCATTTCTACATGACTAAGGGATCTCCAGGCATGTAGCAGCTCTTTCAGATTTTTTTTTCAAATACTACTTTTACAGCCATATATTGGTGTGCAGTGAAACCATACAGATCTGTGTCCAGCTGCCTAATCTCTGTAGAGGATGTAACACAACAGTGTCTAATTTACTGGGACAAAAAGATCAAGGGCAGAGGAAGCTGTCTGTCTTCTCAAGAGGACAGTTCTACTTCTTAGCCTTATTTTGATTAAAGGAAGACGTGTTCCCTGGCTTAATTGTGAAAGATACTAAGATTTGAGTCAAATTGCTGCTATTTCTTACTGGAATACTTGGTATTTAACAGTGGTTATCTTTGGAGAGCTGATAATGAGAGGAGAAACTGGTCATTTGTTGTGTTTCTTGTTTAGTCAAATGACTTTCTTCGGAATGTGTTTGAGCTTGGTCCACCAGTAATGCTAGATGCTGCAACTCTTAAAACAATGAAGATATCCCGTTTTGAAAGGGTAGGTTATTGCACCTTAATGTATTCTCTTTACTTCATACACTAATATTTCTCCTGAATTAAATGGTATTCCGGACGTGCACTTTAGAAGCTGTCATTTTTAAACTTGTCACTTTAGTTCTAATGGTGCCCTGTATTGTCCTGAATGAACTCAGACCTTGCTTGTGTGTGTCTTTGAGCTCATATTTTAGATTTTCCACTGGGCATGTGTCTGCTACTGCTTTTCTCCCAAGGAGGTCTGAAGGTTAACTTTGTTGCTGATTCATACCAGATTCATGCTCTATACATGTAAAACTTGGGCTCTTAGGAGAGCCCTGGGGTTTTGGGTAGGGACCTACAGGAAACCATAGAAACCGAGTCTGTTTAAAGACAGTATCCTGAACTCTCCAGTGTGAAACGGACACTAGGAGAATGGTGGTGTTCTTTTGGTTGTGAATGTACTCATCACATGCACGAACAATTTGTGGAACTTGGTGCTACCAAGTTTAATCCAGGGGGCAAACTTAATCTGCATTGCATCTGAATGATGTTCAAGACTGATGGGCGTCCAGAATTGCTCCTAGCTCTGCCTCTCTTACACAGTCCCAAGTTCCTTGTAAATGTGTATATATATTTAAATGAGTCAGATGTTGTTGCAAAAATGATATACTATAAATTTCAGAAGGCCTACCAATTTGCTTCAAAGATTAATAAAAATATATTTTCAGCTGTTTCTTAACATGAAAAAAAATCTCTAAAAGGATATCAATGTTTTGAACATCTGTGATTAATTTCTCCTTTTATTTTGTAGCACTTGTACAACTCTGCAGCATTCAAGGCTCGGACAAAGGCTAGAAGTAAATGTCGTGATAAAAGAGCAGATGTGGGGGAATTTTTCTAGATCTCCTTTTCCATGGGGTTCAATTTTAAGTATTTCATAATTAAAATAGATTTGTAACCTTTAAATGAATTTTTAAATTTCTGTAGTCACAGCTTGCACTTGTGCCCAGGGATGTTGTATAAAGTCTGTAAATAAAATGCATGTTGTTGCTTAGTTGCATATACACTGTATATAGATTAATGTAAGATAGGGTGCTGGGATACATTATAAAACTTGCATTAGATGCAACTTGCTTCAAACGTTGAATATATTCATCTATGCAATATGAATATATTCATATAATTGAACTGTTAAATGGGGTGATAACTGCAGTCCAATGCCATGTGCCACATTGGATTCCTTACTTCATATAAAGGTAAATTTAATTACTTCATTGCCCAACTGTTTTGGTAAGGATGTGCTAATATGAAAATATTAATTTGTTCATGAAAAGTTATTTTAGTAACTTTTTAAACTCTTCAGTGGCAGGTGGACAGAGAAATTTCTACATAGTTTGACTTAATCCTGAAGGGGACTATGAAGTTCAATTACCTTCACTTACAGTGAAGTGGTGAATGACAAATAATTGCCTTCAATGTAAAATAAAACCAAAATTCTCATGTTCTGAAATTGGATGTTTAATTTTTGGAATAAACATGTTTCTCACTGCTTGCTTTCTGTGTAGAAGTGATTGCTACATGAGTTAAAAGCTGGAATGCTAGCAAAACCTAAAGGCTGAAGCAGATGGGTTTGGTTTTTTTGACCATTCAGACATGTTGGGTTAATCTCAATGCTTTAGTAGATGCTACATGAAACTACCTTGCTGTGTTTTGAAGGTATATCTTATTTACATATGGTCTGCACAACAGCCAACTGTTGATTTGTCATCACTTCTGTAATGGTGTCACATGTTTTCTAGTTCTCGTACTGGACAACACCTTGTCCCTTATCTTACCGGAGCCATTCCAGCTGCCTTGTTTTCATCATGTTGGAAGCTACTTCCCTACCCTCAGTTTCTGGCTCTAGAGGACTGAAATGTGCCAGTAACTGAGAACTCTCTCTCTTAGGGATGATGGGGGATTAAGGGATCGTTTTAGGGATGATAAAAACACTAAAACCTAGGTAGCTGGAGCTTGGGAACCAGAAGATCAACAAGTAAAAGTGCTTGTTAAAATAAACATTCTTAAAACTAAGTCAAATTATCAACAGAGGACGTAAACCTTACACCCAAAAAACCACACACCCTGAAAACTACTGCTTGCTCTGATAAGGGAGAACTTGGTTTGGGTGGGGTTTTTTTTGGGGTGTGTGTGTTTGGGATTTTTTTTTTTTTTAGTTTCAGATTATGGCAGAACCTATTCCAGAAAATCCATACATGCCTGTTAGCTGTACCTTCTAACTTTTTCCCCTCAAATAATGCATTAATTAAGAACTTGTTTGGTTTATTAAACTAATTGCTTAAACTACAGCAATGCCTTCAGCTGAAATTGATGATATTATTAACATGTTGTCAGTGCTTGTCACACAAGTGGAGAAGAAGCTTCTGATCTTTGAACTTGATGAAGCAGTCTGCTTCTGTTTTCCCAGCCTGAGATGTTGCTCCCTTTGACCTAAACTGTTCCACAAGTTTGCTGGTCTCTCTTGTGGCTTCTGGGTAGTCACCTTTGGCATGCTTTGCTATGCACTTTTGGTAGCTTCTTGTCCTGCCAGTATTTTGCAAAATTACTTTTCTGCAGCACCTCTTGGCAGGTGGCCAAGCATGTGGTGTGCCTTTTCCCCCATTATACTGTAGCTTCCAACCACAGAGACCAGGACAACTTCTAAGGCTGTTTGAGGGGAGGTGGGCTGTTCTGCAGCCCTGCAGAGATCTGATGGGTTTGTAGACCTTTTCAAGCTTGGAACTGGAAAGGCATGGGTCCTCATCTTCCAGTCAGGATGGTGTCAAGAACCTTTCAGGGATGGAGGTGAGATTTATTTTTATTTTTTTTTTCTGGCTTGCGCATTCTTGGTTGGAGGGAGGTCTTCTCGGAGACCCCTGCAGAAAGGGAGCAAGCTTGTTACGTCTGCATTAGCTGCATGGCCCAGCTACTCAGACTGGGCAGTGGCAGAGCTTGTCAGCTTGGGGTGGCAAACTACAAGTCAGGAGATTGTTGTGTCCTGAAAAAAAATATATTTATTGTCAGTTTAAAGGGGTTCAAAATTTTGGACATATAGAATGGTTTTAGAAAGGATTTGTTTTTTTAAGCTGTGGTCCCTTCATGTAAGTGTCAGCTGCCTGTCATTACAGTGTGCTGTAACATGATGTTCTGCAACATCAGCAAAAACTAGTGATCAAGAGAACTCTGCAAAGGAGCATTACCAGTACTCACAAACAATTAATCAGAATTCATTTTTTAAACAACTAAGGATGCTGGACAAATTAGTCAATCCCATAATACTGTCACACTTGAATTCGTAAGGTGTGTGGGAGAAGGAAGAAAATACCCTGTCTGTGCCTTTAAAGCACTCATAACTGCAATACTGTAGATATGACTCTTCTGCATAGCAAACCGGTTATTTATAGCTGCAGTGTTGTAGGTATGACCCTTCTGCATAGCAAATGATTTTTAAAAAGGCGTCATAAACCAAAAGGTTAGTGAAATCCTCATCATCAGTAACCTCATTTGCCATCATAGGATGTTATCATGATGATTCCAAAATAATAAAAAAGCTGTATATGTGCTGATTTCTTTTTAAACAGATCAATATTGTGAAGTCAGTATACTTAGCCAAGATGAACTCTAAATATAGATTGAAAGGGACAGCGTGTTTCATAGCTGCCTTCATGGGTCCTGCAGGAGTTGACAGGTTCCTGTGGGTCTAAAAGTAGAGAGAGGAGTTTTCTTCGGGTGATTTTCACTGGCTGATTTCTTCCATACTGGCATATTACCTGACCACGGTTATGTTGTAAGTAACATTTGATTCTCCTGGTTTTTATTTCCTTTTGGACTTGATTGTTTTCCTTTTTTCTGTGAAGAATTTTCAGTGTGTTCTCACACTAACTTCTAATTTTACCACAACAACTTAAGAAATTTAGAAGTCGAAAGGGGAAAAAAGTCTTTAAGCAAGGTTAAAGTACAGGACCGAGTAACTCCAAACCACACAAATTTTAGATTAGTTTGTTTGGAAAATAATACTTCTGGTCAGTGACATGGGTGTCTGTATCCTCTCTCCGTTGTTTGGCATGTCAATGGAAACAAAAAAATAAATATAAACTTTTTGTTGAATTAATAATAATGATTATCTCCACTGCGGTTACATGCACAGTGAGAAAATCAGTTTTAAATAATAATAAATGCAGAAACATATAACTCATAATACTAATGAATCAAAGGTACTTACATGTATTACAGCTCAAGTTGTTGAGTCTTCCCTGAAGCTGCAGGGAGGTACTAATCAAAATACCCACGAGAAACAACTGCTCTTTGGAAGCTAAAAATAGCCAAAAGCCTCTGTGCATGAGGTGGTAACTTTTAGCACGCTGTTGTTGAAACACAGGGCTCTGTCATGCTTGCAGCTGGCCGCGATGTCCTTGTGGGGAGATAGCAGAGCCAGCGCTGGTGGCAGCGTGGCTCACAGACTGTGCTGCCTGGCACCACGCAACATTCTAGGGGAATAACAGTGGACACAGCCATCTGTCATGAAATTAATTAAAAATCATATGCTAGGGAAGGGTAACCACGACTATGCCAGCTTTCCTATCTTATCCTTGAATTTTGCAGCAGCAATTCTGAGCAGAAAAAAAAAAAAAAAAAAAAAAGCTGTAATCTTTTCTTACACTCTATTAAATAGAAATATACAAGTACACTTGTAAATCTGTCAATTCCCACTACCAGAAGTCCTATTATCAGGAGAGACTGAAGCATTTGGTCTTCCGACTTATTGAGGCTCCGTGAATATTTATTTGGCTGTGTGCTCAGACTTGGGGGAATTAGGACAATCTTCTGCATTTGGTTTGATGAGGGAAGGAGTGGGCCTTTTCTGTAAACACTCAGGGCTACATTCCCAAACTTCAGGTCTGTAATATAAGTGCTAGGTTAGGAATCTGGTCACACTGAATTTTTTGTTACTTGGAGATGGAGAAAGGGCTCAGAGGCACGTCAAGAGGGCAATTCAACCCATCTAGGATTCAGAAATCACCCTTAGTGCTTATCACTCTCCGTCAACAGGACATTTGCATCCCGTGAAATGCTAAGTTATGTTTGGCAGGTAAAACAACTTGAGAGCTTTGATAAAATACTAAATAGGTAAGATCTATTCGACTCCAAGTCTAAACTAATCTCTTGTGAGCTCCCCCCTTATATTCACTAACAAGGGAAAGGTACATTTAGGCTGTGATTTTAAGGTCAGAAAGACGTATCATAGAATAAGAGGAATGTTACCTGGAGGTACATATTTTTCTTCAATAATTACAGAGGGAGTTTTCAGTGACTAGTTGCCTAGTTAGAGCATCTGCATCACCTTATGGCTAGAACTGTAGTTTGTTTCTAGAAGACGTTTTTGCAGTCAGGGTAGCATAAAGGAAACAAAAAAAACTGTTAAGGAATAATGTGCAATTCATAGAGGAGCCTGCTTAGGTATTGCTCCTTTTCTATATGTAATCTTCCTTCATAACTGTATTATTTTAAACAATTATTTTAAACAATGAGTTCATGCACCCAGACTCTGCAGAGAAGCTGTTTTTGCTGACTGGGCCCCATCCAGTGCTTTTTTTAAAGCAAGGAGTATTAGTCTGAAGAAAAGGTTTTGCCATCAGGCTTTAATTTGTCCAAAACTAGCATCTGTGTGAAGTAGAACCACATTAGAAGACTATTTTTTGCTGCATTTTTCACAAATAATAAATTCACCATCATATTCTAAGGTGTATAAGCAGACCCATATTCTTGCTGCTGCCTGCTTTGTCTGTCTTCTCTCTGAATTATTTGATGCTGAAAGCAGAGGATCTGAGCAACATCCTTCCTGGCGGTGTGAGTAAAGGTTTGGCTTTCACTGTGGTCAGGCTATCAGCCCTCATCTTACCAAGTACCCACCAAACCCAAAGGGT